TTTCTCAGGAACAAAGGAATGCACATTGTAATACATTGGGTTTGTTTCTCACGGGTATACAATGGCGAGTTTGCTACATACATTGTATCCAAGTGCAATGCACATTAGGTTAGTCACATACTACTAACACAGCACTATTCCAGTAATTATGCAGACACATCATTATTCTAGTGATTGTTCATCATTCCACATTAAATCCCTTCGTGGGCAGGACAGAAGCCCGGCTTCTCCCACTTAGCTAATGGTTGGTGGATTCACACAACCAGCACCAACAAGGCAATGAACTGACAACCAAGTCAGCTAAAGGCCTGGCAGGTGCATTCGCAGAGCAGACAGACTCTGATTACCTTTGCTTAGGGTTTTTGATGACAGGCAGGACAAATCCAATCTGCCAGGTTCATTGATGGTGCATTGTGTTAGGTGCCAACCCCAGTGGGTCAGCCCACCTGAATACAGAGAGGGTGTTCCCTGAATGCGCAAGGGCCACGGCAGGAGAACAGCAGGAACTGAGGCGTCCCTTCCTTTGCCTGATTGATCCCCACCCCAAACGAGGGTCTTCCCTTTCCGGCCCTCCACCCCATAGTCACAGCTGGCCCACTTGAGCAGGAACAGCCTTCCTGGTAGGAAACTCCCCTCCAAAATACATCCTTTGATAATGGAAGGATGCATGGGGGGGGGGCAGAACACCACAGGGCACAGTCATGCTAATTACCACTTTTCTACCTTGGTTACTGAATGAACCCAGAACCAGTGATAAACATAGGCTAGATAAGCACAATTGCACCTAAAACTCATTGTATACCATTTCAGCACGCAAGAAAGGAAAGTTTGCGGCAACGGATCGCCTTCAGCCAGGGGTAGGGAACCTTGGCTCTTTTATGGCTCATGGACTTCAACTCCCAGAATTCCTGTGCCAACATGGCTCAGCTTGGAAGCCTCTCCCTTTTCCCTCAACATGGCTGGCTCAGGACTTCTGGGAGTTGAAGTCCACGAGTCATAAAAGAGCCCAGGTTGTCTACTTCTGCCTTAAACTAATTGCCCATTTTGGGAAACATTAAAAACAAAATGTCAAAACAGGAATGATTAAAGGTATGGAAGAGCAGAAGGCCCGACTCTTCCTTTAGGGCCTGATCAGCAAAATGCTCTGTCCTGGACAGTCCCTACCCCAGCCTCTGATGGATGGGGGGGGGGGAATGCCCAGCCAGTCTGGGGGGCAAATGGGAGACGAGGAAGAAATCTGGTGAAAGGGGACCCCCCCCCAATTCTGAGAGAATCAAACCAGGATAGAGACTAGCAGGAAGATGGAAAAAGGAGGTCAGAAAGCAGGCAGAGCCGCTGGGGCCTCTGAGAAGTCGGTCTGGAAGTGGAGAGATGTCCGATGGATGACAAACACACATACACACTGGACACACACACAGCCTTTCTTCCAAGCAAGAGACCACCAGATGTTACAAGTCACCGGAAATAGGAAACTGGGGGAGGAAAGAGGCCACTGGAAAGGAGGGCCCTCTAAAGGCTACCTAGTCCAATACAGTCATAGTCACAACCAGGTGGCCACACAATTCCCACCGCAGTGCATTTTCTTCATTCCGAAGCCTCTTTGCCAGCTCAACAGCCTTAGGAAGAAGATGGGGGGGGGGTGTTCTCTCACCTCCCCCCCCATAATAAACCCACCCAACAACCACAGAGCATTTCCTTCTGGCGTCGGGGAGACGCAACACTATTCCTCGCGGTGAGCAGATTTAATTCGCGGGGTGAGTTTGTACAGAAAGCTAATCCCAAACTGCGCAAAGCTCATTATTGGTGAGCCGTCTACGTGAGCAGGGTAGACTGCTGGAAAATCCTCACCTGATTTCTGAGAAGAATAAAGAAAAGTTATAGTCATGTTGGCCTAAATATTAAAAAATGGGGGAGGGGGGCCCTTCCTTCCTTTCCCCGCAGCCTTTCCGTGATGCTGGAAGCTTTGTGCCCGAGTATATTGTCCTCGCAAGGGACGCTTTGGCGCATCCTTTCATGCTGGCCCTTACAATAGACGTCTCTGAGACAGGAAGAGACAGAAAAAGCAGCCACAGGGTGGCCACTGCCTCTTCCAGAGATCTCAAAAGAGGCTCTTTTCATGACGGTAAATCATAAAATGCCTGGTGTGGGACTAGAAGCCAAATATGCATGGAAGAAGAAGAAGCAAAGCCACTACAAAGCTCAGCAGTCACCATTGGGGTCTCTGTCATGCCCAGGTTTACCTCTCAGGTCAGAGGGAGGTGTCCGCTCAGCATCCCACCATCAGCTTCGGTCTTACCCCCCCCCCCTTACGATGCCCCAACTCCTGCATCACCCTCTTCTCAGGGACACCAGCAGCCCCGGTTTAAGAGGCCTGAAAAGCCCACTAAGTTCTACGGGCATCTCCCGCCTCTCTTCCCCACAAGAGAGATTGCGGTGATCGACTCAAGCAAAACGATTCCTTTGCCAAAACTAGGTGGAAGGGCAGCCTCTTGCGGGAGGGGAGCCCCTGAGCCCCTTGGGGGGGTCATTGGTGCTTTAAATATAATCCTGTGTACATTATTTAAACCAGACTTTTTCCAAAGTCAGCGCCGACCAAACCCACAAGGTCTTGCTTTGACAACTTTTGCATCAACACAGTTTTCCAAAGAACTTGCATTTCCCAACATGTGAAGAAGCTCCTTCAGTGCAGCTCAAGAGGTGGCTGGCGGACAAAGTGGGTGGGTGGGTGCTTGGAGCAGCAGACGCCCGTTTTTTGATCTGAGTGCCACAGAAGCACCGCATGGCTGCTTGTAGAGGAAACCTTGGCCCCGGTCCAAAGCAATTTTTCAGGAATCCCACAGATTGATGTCTACACCAGGGTGTCAAACCGTGGCCACTTTAAGACTTCTGGATTTCAACTTCCAGAATTCCCCAGCCAGCCTCCTCTACACAAAACTGGAGCTTCTTCTGAAGTAGTGCCCCAAAAGCACGCACGTGTCCAGCGCAGGTTCTGTTTGCACATCTGGGATCCACTGGGATGCCCCGAAATGCAGATTCCCCTCTGAGGTCTTGATCCTTTGGAAGAATCAAGTCTTCCTACAGACTGGGCATCCCAGGGCTGAGGAAAGACCTTTGGCCTCAGCCACTAAAGGCTTCCCAGCTTCTCAAGCCCAAGTTGCTTCTTGGACCACCAAAAAAGCCTTCAAAGAAAGACACACACACACCCGATTCTTTACGGAAAGAAATGGAGGGAGGAGGAAAAAAGGCTTTACCTCCTGAAACTGGAGCCGGACTTTGGTGATAGCTCGGATCCAATGGGCTCTTGCAGGAGCAAACAGGGGAGACTCATTTTCATCCAGGAGGCTGGCAAGAAACGAAGAACACAAAGAATGAAGAAGAGCTAACGCGAAAGTGCGTATTTTCTTTAAATTGAGAAAACTGGAATTAGAGGGGTTCAAACTTGTATTGCATATTTACACTATTGGCACAGGGATCTCGGAGTCCTAGTGGACAATCACCTAGATATGAGCCAGCAGTGTGCTGCAGCTGCCAAAAAAAGCCAACACAGTGCTGGGCTGCATTAACAGAGGGATAGAATCAAGATCACGTGAAGTATTAATACCACTTTACAATGCCTTGGTAAGGCCACACTTGGAATACTGCATCCAGTTTTGGTCACCACGATGTAAAAAAGATGTTGAGACTCTAGAAAGAGTACAGAGAAGAGCAACAAAGACGATTAGAGGTCTGGAGACTAAAACATATAAGGAACGGTTGCTGGAATTGGGTATGTCTAGTTCAGGGGTAGGCAACCTTGGCTCTTTTATGACTGATGGACTTCAACTCCCAGAATTCCTGAGCCGGCATGGCTCAGCTTGGAAACTTCTCCCTTTCCCCTCAGCATGGATGGCTCAGGAATTCTGGGAAGTCCACCAGTTATAAAAGAGCCAAGGTTGCCTACCCCTGGTCTAGTTTAATGAAGAGAAGGACATGGGGGGGACATGATAGCCTTCCAATATCTCAGGGGCTGCCCCAAAGAAGAGGGAGTCAAGCTATTCTCCAAAACGCCTGAACGCAGGACAAGAAGCAATGGATGGAAACTCATCAAAGAGAGAAGCAATCTAGAACTAAGAAACTTCCTGACAGTGAGAACAATTAACCAATGGAACAACTGCTTCCAGAAGTTGTGAATTCTCCAACACTGCTTCTGGAGGCAGGTTGTTCCACTGGTTAATTGTTCTCACTGTCAGGAAGTTTCTCCTTAGTTCTAGGTTGCTTCTCTTCGTATGTTTATATGTTGCCTCTCTCACCTAAGGCAACTCTGGCTTTGCAATCAGTAAAAAGATAAATGTAGAAATGATTAAAATTAAAACTACTGTGCTATATTAAAATCTAGAACCAAGGAGAAGGGGGGAAACGGGGATGAGATCAACTTGTCAACTGCTTCCAGTGGTGAGCACCGCCCCCCCCCCCAATTGGAGCTCCAAGCCAACCAGCAAAATCAGGTTTTGATCTCACTTCTGGTGGCAGAGTGTTCTACCAGGCCAGGACCACAGCAGAAAAGGTCCTTTTCCTGGACACCCACTCCAGCCAAAATTCCTTGGCCCGTAGGGTCCACAGCAGGCCCTGGATTGAATGGGGCAGGCTAATCCCATGGAGCAAGACAGCTCCTCGGATACCCTGGACCCAGGGCACGCAGCAGGCAGAATTTCCTACCTCTTTGGGGGTTCCGGAGCAGCTTTGGGGATGTCCTCTCCTTCTCCTGGGGGCTGAGCGCGCCCACGTTCTTTGACCTCCTCTTCTTCTCCTTCTCGGCTCGCTTCCTGGCACTTGGCCAGCTCGCTCAGGGGCTCCTGGACGTCCCGCAGGGTCAAAGCTACAGACCCCCCTTCTGGGAGTTCTTCCTCCTGCTCCGAGCCAGGGGGGCTGCCCTGCTCCTGCTCGCTCAGCTGAGAGCTGCCCCGGCTGACGTTGCCGGAGGAGCCGAACTTGCTACTGCTGGCAGGACTGGCGGGGGAAAAGAGAGAGAGGAAGCAGGTGAGTGTGCAGAACTTGGGGAGCCCGAAGGGTGGGCAGCCAAGGAATGGAGAAGCAGTTGGGGGGGGGGGCGAGCAGGGCTGGCTACCAAACACATCTGTCCTCATTCCCCATCCGGTAGAGAGTCTGCAGGGCTTCCCAATTCCGGGACATCTGCTGAATGTTGAGGCTTTGAAGCTTCTCCCTCTGATCTGCCGCCCAGAAATGGGGGTCTCCCATCTCCCCCACCCAGGCAGTCCAGGCCCACTTCCCCTATGCTGAATTGCTGACTCAGCAGGAGGATTCCACCCCCCCCGCCCCAAGTCTTTCTACTTCCCTGCAGACCAGGTCAGCCAAGGGGCTCCTGAGCTGATTCCCAGGGCTTCCTTCATTCCCAACCGGAAGAAGGGACTGCCAACATCCAGGGTAACAGAATGGACAACACGGGGGGCGGGAGGGCTGTGCATAATGGTGCTTGGAGTTGGCTAGTCCGAACATCGACCAATCTGGATTCTTTCCAGCCTGGCGGTCTGGAAAAGACAGGGCTGCAGCTAGCAAGGTGGAGGGAAGCGGAGAAGGGGAAGAGAGCAGACGAAGGGGCTGCGCAGGATCCAAGCGGCGGGTGGGGGCTGACCTTGGGAGATCCACAGGATTTATCCACACAGCTACGGGAGGCAGGGAGCTGCTTGTGGGCGGGCAGAGCAGAAACCGCCCAGCCCAGCAGCGCCAGCAGCTCTTGATGGGCCCAGAAGTGATTAGCTCACACCCCTGAAGCCCTCGGGGAAGACCAGAGACCCCTGCGATGCCCGGCCCGATCCCCTTGGCCCCTCCATCACAAGGCCTCGCAGAGCTACTGCTCAGCCATGCTGGCCTCTCACAGCTGGGCAGCCATGAGGAAAAGCAGCATGGATGGCAGCTGGGATGGGAGGGGTGGGGGTGTCCCAAGACAGCATTTGCAGCTCCCAATCCACCTGTGAGCATTTTACATTCCCTAATTCAGCCCTCTACAGAAGGGCAGAGTTATCCTTCCACAGCAGGATTTTCGAAAAGCCTCTTCTGGCGAGTGGGAGCTGTGGGGTGGGCTGTTCTCAGAAACCCCCTCCCCACTCTCAGGTCTGTAAAGACTGAACAAAACAAAATCCACGTTCAAAGCTGTTCGCCAACACACAAAGGGGGAGCACCCAAAGCGAAGGAAAGGGAGGGAGGGAGGGGGCAGGGAGAGGGACAAGCCGGGGCTAGAGGTCACCCCTCACTCCCCGTCAGCATCAAGGGGGCCAGAGGGAGGGGTCAGAGGCCTCTGACTATGGCTCTTGGCTCATAAATGGACCGGCCGCCTCCATTTATTGGCTGCATCTGCTACTGGCCTGTGCTCAAGCGGGTGTCGTGGGCTGCTCTCCTCCACCAGCCGTGGCCCAGCCTGTGGGCAAGCGACGCTGTCCTTCTTCTGCTCTGATGGACTAGGAACAGAGGCCGTGTCTTCTGCTTCTTTTTCCAAGGTCGGGGCAGGAGGGCCATTGGGAACGGCCCTCAGATCCTCTTCCTGCTCTTTACCTGCAACTTCCAGGCCTCGGCCAGGCTCAGCCTCAGCAAGAACAGTTCTGGCCTCTAGGAACTGCTCGCCTGAACTGTCCACCTCCATGGATGGAAGGCTGGACTCGGGCACTGGATCCCCCAAGTGGTCTGCACTGTCCTTGGGGCCAATCAATGCCTGCTCGGCTCTACATGAGGGCTGCGGTGCATTGGGCATCAGACGGGATGGACCACTTGACAGGGCTTCTGGCTTGGAGGAAGGTTTCAGTGGCGCCTCCGATCCCTTCTGGCTCTCCTTTTCCTTTGGGCCTTTCTGCCAAGGAAGGGAGAAGTCCAGCTTCCTCCCAAACACCGTCTCTTGGATGCTGCCGGCTTTCTCCACTTTCTCCTCGCTTCCTCCACCAAACAGAACGGAAGACACGCTGCTCAAGCCGGACCCGAGACCGGGCTCAGCACCGGTCTTGCTCGCTGAAGGGGGGGAGAAGAAGGAGCCCATCGGTTTCATGCTGCTGGTTGAAGACCCAAAGCCGAATTTGGGCCAAGGGGACCGACTTAACATCTCAAATACAGACGTGGTGCTGCTGACCTCTGCAGCAGGGGAACCGGCAGGCCCATGATCCATGGCGCTTCTCAAGGCCTCAGCTTTGAAAGGTTTCTCACGAGGGGATGGAACCTCCTCTTCTTCCTCACCTGGGACAGATTCCCTGCTGTGGATACCGTCCACACCATCATGGTGCAAATCAGGGGTCTCATTCAGAACCGCTCCGGGTTCCACACCTATGTTCTCACGTCCATTTGGTGGACCAGTATCACCCTGCGCTTGAGCCTTCACGGCTGCGTATTCAGACATAGCGACAATATCCAAGCCTGACTGGCTCACGTTGTCTTCCCTCTTGGCTTCCAGCACAGGTGTGTTTTCCCAACCTTCCTGGCCAATAGGAAGGTTGCCAGTTTGGGATTCTAGATTCAGTTGCTTTTGAGTAGGAAGGTCAGCCTCATCTGCCAGCATCGCAGCTGATTCTGCCGCAACCCCCTTGTTGAGATCTTGACGGCACCTATCAGCATCCCTCATTTCCTCAGAGGTTAGGAAGTCCACTTGCCCCACTTCAGAGCCTCGGCTCTTCTCTGAGCTCAAGGTATCCAGGGTGTTTGGCACCGGCTCTTGGCAATTGTCCAGCTTTTGATCGGCTTCCATTTCCAGGTCCATTTTGAGAGTTCCTGTGGAATTTTCTCCTGCCAGGTTCAACAGACCATTTTCCTTCAAGACACTTCTGGCCTCCGTCTCTAGCAGCGCCCCTCGAGGACTCTTGATTTGCTGTTTCCCCAAGCGGCTTTCTTCTGAACCCTCCTCTCTAGATGCTTCGTCTTCCCGGATGAGAAGGTCTTTCCCTGGAACTGAACCTGTCGCTTCCTTCACCTCAGAATCCACCTGGGGAGGTTTCCAGGGCACAGAAGCCTTCGAAGGAGGCTGCTCCACTCCTCCTTTAGAAAAACCAAAGGTGCCGCTTGCGAATGTTGAGGAAGGCCCGCTTGGCTGGAACGTGCTGCCGAAAAAGGAGGCGCTCTTCTTCTGCAAACCAGGAGCATCTGGAGCTGGGAGTGGGCAGCCCAAAAAATCGGAGAAAGTTTTCGTGGGTTTGATTCTGGTGAAGAAACTTGAAAATTTTTCCATTGAGCACTCTAGGACAGACTTGTTACTCACAGATTCTTCAGGCATCTTCAACCCATCTGGCTCCCCAAGGGGGACCGTGGGGAGAGGCTTCTGGCCCTGAGCCTGCTGGGCTCCAGCATGGGAAGGAAGGCCAAATCCTTGCAGGGGCTCTGGTACTACCTCCTGGCCCAAGTCACGGAGAGCAGCTGTCCTTTGGGCCACTGATGTCTGAACACAAACAGAACCGGAGTATTCTGGAGGAGGAACAGCTTCCTTCTCAAGCAAAGACACCCTCCTCTCATCCCACTCAGTTGAGCTCTGGGGCAGCTGTTCTGGAACTTCTGGAGGGGAGAAAGTCCCATCCTTCTGGATTTCAGGACCTTCACAGACAGGATCAAGCTGTACTGGCTGGTCTTCTTCCTTTGCATCACTGAGAGATGGGCTGTCCGTAAGTTGCTCTGCCGAGGCACATTCCCCGGCCTTCTCAGCCCCTTCACCTGCCCTGCTCTGCAAGTCACGGGCTTCCTGCTTGCCCAGCACAGCATCTCTAACACTGGAGATGGCCTCCTTCTCCTCCAAGGGTGGTTTCCTGGCTATTCCAAGGCCAGCATCAGCAGAAGCAGATGGCCCCAGGAGTGGCTCCTCCTTTCCTTGCAATGGAGGTGGCTTGGGGAGGGGACCTTTGTCAGGAGCAGCTGGTGGTTCTTCAGGGCGGAAAGAGGCCCAACTGAACAAGCTGAAGCTGGAGCTGTCCAGAAGCCCTTTCTTGGCAGAGAAGGGGATCTTGAACAAACCTTCCATCTCTGGACCTTTTGCGGTCTGGACAGGGGCCGGGGCTGGGGTTGGGTCAGGGCTCGGGGCTTTCTTGGAGGCAGGGAAAAGAGAGAAGATATCCCAGCTGCTGGCTGTCTGCTGAGGTTTTGGAGGTGTAGCTTGGGACAAGCCAAAGGGGAGTCTGAACCCAGGTTCCTTCTCTAGCTGGATTCCCTGGGGCTCTTTGCCCATCAAGAAGGACTGGCTGGTGTTCAGGGAACTGGACTTCCTTGCTGCTGAGTCCCCCAGCAACCCAGAGAAGCTCCTGAGCAGGCCTCCCTCTTCCGGTGGTGGGCTGCGCCTCCCTATTCCAGGACTCAGGTGCAAGTTGGCTGCCTGCTCAGTCCTGGCAGGAGGCACTTCCTTGACCCTGCCCATTTCCTCTCCAGCCTTTTTGTGGGCCTGTTCCTTAGAGGAGAGCTCTTTCTCGGCAATATCTGCCCCAGGTGGCTCTGAAGAGACATCCACCTCAGAAGCAGGACCCTTAGTGGGTTCCCAAACAAGTTCTTGGGATATCTGCCCGTTATTCAGTGGTGGGACAGGGGTATCAGATGGTGAGTGGGCTGGCTCTTTGGTGAAAAAGTCTTTGATCGAGCCGAAGAAGGACGGAGCACCTGGGAGCTCTGCCTTGCTCTGGCTTTCCTTTTTCACCAGACTTGGCAGAGAGGTGGGTGAAGGTGGCGATGGAGACTTGCTTCCCTGCATTTTAATGAAACCGAGGAATCCTGATTCTGTAGGGACCGGTGGGACTTCTCCGGGGCTATCTGTTTTGAGGTCACTCTTAGAAAGAGTCTCCTTGGCCTTAGCAGCTATTTGGCCCAGGACTACCCAACTGTTTTCAGGCTCTGCCAGAGACCCTAAAGCTGCCTTAGCATTGCTGTCTGGTTGGGTTAATGGGTCGGACGTGAGACCCTGGCTGAACTGAGAGGTGGATCTCCGTAGGGGAGCTCTCTTCCGGGGAGGAGATGGAGCAATCTCAGTGGAAACAGGCAGGGGTTCTGGTTGAAGTTGTCCCTTCTTCCTGGGTGGTGTTCCAGACATGGCTTCCTTTGCAGGAAACTTTGACTGTGGGCCTTGGTCCTTCTCTGCCGTGTCCTCCAGCATCTCGCCTTTCCCCGAACCCTGACCCATCAGCCCACCCAAAGAGGAAAGCCAAGAGGTGACCTTGTTGCTTGTGGTCTTCTTATCTTCTTCAGCCATCTGTGCTTTGGCAAGAGACACTGGTGGGAGATCAGACCTGGTAGCAGCTTTAAAGATTTGAAGGCCAGGTAGTCTGGTCTGCCCGCTTTCTGAAACAGAAGTCCTAGGGGCCACATCTAGCAACTTGGGTTGGAATTCCTCCTTTAGCCCCCCACCAGAGGCGATCCTTAAATGTGCCCGGAGGTCAAACGGCGCATCTTCTACAGACCCTTCCCTCTTCTCCTCAGGCCTAAAGCCCACCTTATTAGGTTTCAGAAGCCTGTAGCCTGAGAAATCTAAAGGCTTCTCTTTCTGGTAGTAAGCAGATTCCTCAAACATTTGAGAAAAGGTCTCTACGTTCATAAACTTGTCCCTTCTTTGAAAAGCTACAGACAAATCAAGAGGTTTGTTTACAAAATAATCATCCAACTCTTCCTCTTCGGCAGACCAAAATAACTCATCTTCAAGAGGCACTTTGAAGCCACAAACGGAAACCATGTCCCCTTCCATCACAACCCTTTGCAAAGAGGACTTGAGTTCATAGTCCCAGCTGTCCGGATGGGTGCAAAGGTCAGGAGTGCAGAGGTAAATATACTGCCCTGTAGAATCAGTGAGTAGAGAATAAACATACTGACCATCGGTATATATGTAATAACCATAATCACCATCTTCTGACGGCCACCACACTCCCTGCAGCAGCGGCATCAGCCAATCCAGGTACTCCTGACAGTGGCACAGCCATAGGTCATCCATATTCATGGGCTCCTGATCAATTATGGTCCACATATTAGCATCATAAGCAGAGGAATAACTTAAATCTATTGGCCCATCTTCCAGAAAGCAGTTGAACGTGTGTGGAGAAAGACTTCCATTCAAATAATGAGTTGCCCACATTTCGTTTTCCCCCAGACAAAAATCAGGTGATCTACATGACACAGCATTAAAATTGGTCACTGGTGGATCAAAATTCTCACTTGATCTCCAATCGATTGGATTGGTATTCCCATCTCTTTTACACAAATTCATTACTTTGTTGCCAGAGTCTGACCAGGTCAGAACCTCATCCCAAGAGACGGGATTCTGTTTTAAGATGTAATAAAGAGGCACAGAAGTCTGAACCATCTTTGCTGGATAACTCCTGGGGTCATAATCACCATCCAAGGTGGAGCCTATCCTGATCTCCTCTGAAGCGGGAGATTCTCCTGACCAGCTGAGCAAGCTGGCATTCTGTGAGGAACATCTGAGAAGTCCATCCAACTTTTCATGGAGAAGCCCTGGATGAATGTGCGATTCTGTATTTTTTCGAGAAAGGACTGGTTTTGTTGATAAATCTGTCTTCTTCTGAGAATTATTCAGAGAGAGGGATCCTTCATGGAGGGCAATGGATTCCTTGCTTGTGCTAGGCAAACCGGCCTTCATCTTGGGAGTTTGGGCCACTCTCTCTTCAACCTTCTCTTTTGCCTGGTGTAAGAAGTTTATTAGGAAGCTGCCTGCAGCCTCTTGGTCCCTGGTGCCTTCTTGAGTTTGGGGTGCCACTTGAGAATCCCCCACTTTGGAATTAGTCTCCTCCACAGTCTTTTCAAAGATCTGCCCCAAACCACCCAAAAATCTCAGATTTGGTTTGTCCACCTTACTCGGAGAGGTGTTTTCACCTGAACCGAATCTGAATAATCCAGAAAGCAAACCAGGTGGACGGTCCTTCTGGCTGTCTGTGCTGTCTTGAGCATTTTGTCCTTCCTTGGAAGATAAACTGCCAGCCAGAGAAGAGCGGAAAAGTCCCGAAAAGAAACCCTCCTGAGCATCATCCAGAATCTTGACCCTGCCGACTCCACTAGCAGCCTCTGATTTTTCTCCTACCAGATCCAGGCCAGATCCACCTTGGGAGGCGGCTGTGACTGCTGCTGCTGCCCCTTCTCTGCCTGGGACACCCTTTAGATCATGATTGCTTGGGTCACTGTGGCCACGTCTGCCCTCCGCACTTTCCGAAGTGCCTGCAGCCACCACCTTGTCCTGACGGCCACTTTCTGGTCCCAAAGGATCAGTTTCCAGTTCCCCCTTCAGCTCCTCTTTATTCTCTGGTGGAGACTTTGAGGAAGAAGCCTGGAGACCCTCTGAATTGCTCCCCAGATGTCCCTCTTTGGCAGCTTCTGCGTTTTCAGCCGAAGCAACTTTTAAGAATGAAGAGAAGAATCCTGTTTTTTCCTTATTTTCCTGCGGTTTGTCGGATAAGTTGAAGCTGCTCAAAAAGGAAACCTGCAGCTTCTCAGGGAACGGGAAGGGAGCTCTACTGCTGGCGGGACTCGCTTTTTTGACATTGTCTTCGGACTTGCACTGTTTCCCCACACTCAAGGACGCCTCTTTGGCCGGGAGGTCAGCAGGAGCAGAAAGTGGCAACAGGCTGAAGCATTTTTTAAGAGGACTAAAAAAATTGATGGGAGATTCTCTTTGTTCTGAAGGCTGAGTGATGGCCTCCTGCGGCCCTTCCTGCGGCTTGTCCTCAGGAGGCTGGATGGCTAAAGGCTCCAGAGGGATTCCCTGATCTGCCTTATCCAGCTGTGATGAGGGGCAGGGGACTTTGGGAGACTCCACTGGCCCCCTGGGAACAGCCGTGCCATCAAAACCCGCGTTCAGGCTAACGTCAGCAGAGGAGCTGGAGATGGGGGGTGCCAGGCCCCCCGTGGGGTCAGCTGCTGGTTCCTCCTTCCTTGTTTCCAGGGAGTAGCCTCTGGGCTTTGTGCCCTCTTCACCAGGCTTCTCGGCCTCAGCTCCACTTGCAGCCAACAGTTCAGCCGCTATGGTTGTTCCTTCTTTCCTGGTCTCTTTCTTTGGCTCCTTCTTTTCCGCCAATATTTTTAAAGAGCCAAACATGCCGAAGAGAGAATTCACAGCCGCACTGGTCTTCTGAAAGGCCGACTGGCTCTCGGCGTCATCTGCAGGACAATCCAGGACTGGGGGAGCCGGAGAGGCCTTGTCATCCCCGTCAGAGGTTTCTGGGAGACTCACGCTGGGAGGACCAGCAACTTTTCCACAACTCTGCTCGGGGAGGGAAGCTGGCCCTTCTTCAGGCAAGCCGAGATCAGGCCTGCTTTCCACCTTCACATCCGGATGAGGTTGGTTTGAGGAGTCCCTCGCAGGGGCATCTGCCGTTTCAGCCGTTGAAGATACGAACTTCTCCACAGAGGACGTGAGGAGCGTCTTTCCAGAGCTCACTTTCCCCGTAAGGAAGCTGAAGAAGGACTGGGCAGTGTCTTTCACCCCGAGAAAGTCCGATAACACCTCTCCTCGGCTGTCGCTCTTCTCCTCCGCAGCAGGGGCTGCTTTGGCCTGCTCTGCCTGAGACATCTCCTCTGCCACCTGGACAGGGAGGCCCTGATTCCTGCTTTCCTGCTTTGGAAGGGCTTCCCAACTGCTAATCTCTTCCTCCTTTTCGGCCAGGTATTCGGACACTGTCTCCACCAAGCACTGCAACTCGTCCACCGCACTGAGGTCTCCCTCTGATGGGGCTTGGACAGGCAAGAAGGCCCCATGTTCCTTGAGAGAGCCACACGTGGGCTCATACCAGCCTCGGGACACTTGGGCCATTTCCTCCTTCCCTTCCTCGTCTGAAGCAGGAGAGCCCCGAAGATCTTCAGACCAGCTGCTGCCTTCCAGTTCCTCAAGATCTCCAGACGGCTGAAAACAACCGTCTGCCTCTTCTGGGTGCAGCGGATCTTCGCCCGCAAAACGGCCTGGCTGAGGGTCGTGGCTTCTCTCTCGGCCGTCCGAGAACCAGCTGCTTTGGACCAGGAAGGTCTTTCCGGAGGGGAGCAAATCCCAACACCCAGGCTGCTGTGCCCCAACTTCACCGGGGTTGCTGCTATACAGATCAAAGTCATCGTAATCTGCGTCAAGTTTGGTTCTTCTTTTCATGGTGCTTGCAGAAATGACAGTTTCGTGGGGAAGACTCAGCCTCCCATTGATTTGAGGCCTTCTCCACTCACACTCTTCATTGTCTCTCCGTTTCTTTTTTCTTCTCCTGTCTATGGTATCGTACGCCGCTGGATAGGAAAGAGCACTGAGACGTTCTAATTCCACGCAAACCTTGGGTGAGGACCTGGAGTTTTTCAGACGGCTACCGTGCCCCTGTTTGGAGAACCGAGGCCTCCTTATCTCCTGCCAATTTCTAGCCCTTTTTTCTAGAAAATCTTCTATTAACTGTTTGCCTAATTCGTCATAGTCCTCAACACATTCTTCTTGGTCAAGACCATGGTCAAAAGGAATAATCCTGACTTTCCCACTGCTAATCAAAGATCCTTGACTGGTAATGCAAAAGGGGGGGGAGAAGAGAGGGGGGAGAAAGGAAAAGGCAAGAAAGATGGAAAAAAATCTTTAACATATAAACACGTGAACTTTTAGGAATGAAAAATAAACAAATATGAAATAATTAAAACATGTACATTCAATTCTAACCTTGTTTCATGTTTAGAAAGCACCCACTTTATTATGACCAGGCTGGGGGGGCTCAATGGAGTGACTGAGCAAGGCATGTTATGGGAAGTCCCTGACTAATGGCGGGTCGCTCAGTGATGGCTGGAAGTTCCGACAGACCTACCTGGAGGCTGCTTATGAACTGGATTCAATGTTCCGACAGTTGTCGCCCCCTCCCCCTTCGGTCACTTGACAACCAGGCCACATTTACAGATCTTTGCAGCATCCCACACACACCTGAACACATTTATGGTGGTTTTGCCAAAACGGAGCAGTTGTTTCTGCCCTGTGGCAAAGAACTGATTCGCTTAATGACCGCTATGACACAGGTGGTGGTATCATTGGGTTGGTCAGGTGGCTGCCCCGTTTTATAGCCACCAAGAATTATGACTGCAATGAGCAGGGCCAACTACAGTTGTAACTCCAGGACTACCAGTACAGCAATTCAACAGAATAACCACGGTGATATATTACTTAGAAGCATTTATTAAATACAGTGGCATATTAAAAGTGTCTATAAAAAAAACAACCTATCACAAATCATAGTAGGAGTTGGTACATTCCAACAACTTTCTGCCCAACTGGCTTGCTCTGACTGATGAAGCTGCTTGGATGAGCAGCGAGACCTCTCAAGCTATCCACAAAAATCATTAGTCCAATTGCAGTAGCCTTCAGACTGTCACAATTCAGTATCTGTAATGCACTACTTAAGATATTTTAATAGTAAAGCACACTATTTAATTTATTAAACTAAGCCTAAGATGAATAAACCATCTGTGCTGAATTAAGGCCGCTATTCGAAGGGGTCATTCAATGTTTGGCCACTTGGATCAGGAATGGCACAACTCGCCACGGCCAACTCATCGCGGGACAATTCAATAATTCAATTTAATTATTTAAATTAGTTAAAGATTATTTTAATTTTTGTCATTCACGTTTCATTTTGTTCCTCCTTTGGCATCCTTTCTTTAATTATTCTATTCTATTTCTTTGATATTAGTGTAACTCTGGCAAGTTGTACTGTGGTGAGTTGTTGTAGACCTACTTGGACCCCCAAGGCAGAACCCCAAAGAAATCCTGCAGGAGCAGCACTGTTACACTAGCAGCCTTTCAACAGAACAATGAGGCCATGCAACCACAAGGACAGCTCACGACCACCACCGTCCCACCCCACCAAGCACAGCCATGCCACAGGACACACGACATGGAAGCTGCGGCTGCGGCAGCACCACCCACCTATCTGACAACTCTAAGGAGTGCCGGCTTTCTAGGGACAGCTGGCGACTGGTCACTTGGCTGGAATGCGATCCGGATTCTAGGTCGGTCCGGCCACTCCCAGTCGAGTCTATGCTGCCGTATCTTCTTCAGAAGGCCGAGCCGAGGTGGGGACAGGAAGCACAGAAAGCAGCGAAAAACATTGAGAGCGCTCAGGGGCAGCACCACAGGACGTGGACGTAACTGCAGGACAGACCAGCTGCAGAGCGGGGCCCTGACGGCGCCCACCAGACTCCGAGGCCAGTCAGGGACCAGACCCATCTTACAGACTGGGGCTGTGAGGGGCAGCAGGTCTTGGGATGTGGAACGGCGGCTCGCTCGCTCGCTCCTTTCCCCGTGAGAATCACATCCAGAGGATGCTGTTGTGTGAAGCTTCTCAGATCCACTTGGACCTTTCCACCCTCTACGCTAAGTGTGAACATTATTTCATAATTCTCCCTAACACTTGCATGTTACTGAAATGGGAATTGCCCTAACAAGATATTTGGAAGTTGACGGGGAGAATTTTCCACCTTCTTCATTCTCCAGACCCCCAAAGGACAAGAGTTATGGGGCTCCTGAACAATATGAGTTGCCTCTCTTGAGGCTTCTGCAAGAAGAGGAGGGGATCCTCCCACTGTGAAAGGAAAGGAAAAGACCCCCCCCCCAACCTCGATTTGCTGACACCACTCGAAGGGCACTCAGGCAGCCTGCAAAGGGCAGGAGGGTGGGCAAGGCAGAAAACTTTAACTCCAAGAACATCCTTAGTGTCTGGTCCTCGCCCACAAAACATCCTTCTTCTGGCAGATCACTTGAGCCAGAATATTAGGAAGGGCTCCTTGGCTGTTTCGAAAACCGCTCCCAAAGAGCACCCACCTTATGCCTGTCCGCTCCTGGTAGTCCGAGGCATAGCCACGGAGGGGCTCCACGCAGACTCCCTGCTGCTGCAGACGGGAAGCCCCCCGGAACTGGTGTGTCGAAATGTTGGGCTGGGAGGTGGTGCAGTAGGCAGGGGGGAGGCTGGCGCTGGTCTCGCTGCGGTAGTCGCTGTCCCGGTCGTCCACGGCACTCTCGTGGCCTTCCGAAGCTGCGAGACACAAGATGTTGGGTCACAGCCAGGGCCTTGGATCCAACTCAAAATGGGACACACACGTGCACGCACCCCAAACTGTTTCAGAGTGAAGCATAGGCACTCTTTATCTGGGAAGTTGGAGGGGCTAAGATGGCGCCCTCGGGGCCTTCTCTGTGCTGCAGAATTTGCTGCCAATTCCACATCTTGATTATATCGAGTGGGACCCTTGGCAAAGGCATGGCTGGCTTTATTCTGAGCAAAAAGTGGGGTACGGCAGAGGGGAGGGGGCTGCTGGGCTGGCTCCTGTACAGAAGGAGAAGCATGAGTGGGCAGGGTGTTTGGCTGGCTTCCTGCCTCTCTGGGTGTCCCAAAGGTGCTTTTTTTCTTGAGGCAACTGGACTTGCTTGTTTTTCTTTGAAGATGTTTCCCTTCTCATCCAAGAAGCTTCTTCAGCTCTGACCGGACGGTGGGGAACTTCCTCTTGAAGAAGCACCTTTGGGACAACCATGACCTGGATAACTGAGAATCTCCATAGACACTTCGTCTCTGAAGTTTTTCAGCACTGTCAAGCCCCCTTGCTCCACCGCTGCCCCTCAGCCCTCGGGACTAGGATGGCCCACCAGCCCCAGCTGAGAGCAGCTCTGGCCAGGCGGGACAGGTGGTGGGTTGGAGGGTCTGCCTGCTCCTCCATGGGGAGTGGGGTTGCTAAAGAGGGGCCCTTCAGGCAGCCCCACTGCTGGGGAGGGGAGGAGGAGGAGGAGGCTGGAGAAGAAATCAAAATGACTCCAGCCTCTCCTCTTAGCAAGGAGGGAACAACCATACATTTCAGATCAGTTCAGGTCCAGGATGGGGAGAGGTCCAGAGCCACCTGGCCAGCTCAGGGGAGACTTTGGGGTGTGAAGCGTTTGGCCCCTTCCCCTCCATCTTGCATGCTGGGGCAGCCCCCCCCCTCCCCCCTGCCTCTTTGGTCTTAAGCAGGTTAAAACAATGTTTGGGTAAAAGTTCTCCGTTCCTTATATGCAGAGAGAAGCGAGATTCCTAGCATGTTCGGTCTCCCTTGACTGATTTAATTCTACGGAAAGGAGAAGAACCGCTTCTTGGCCTCCCTGAGGTAAGAGAGGCGTCCTTATATGGGATTCAAAGGCAGGCGGGGGAGGGGGAGGCGGCTGACTTCAAAGGAGCCCCTTGAAGTAATTTGATTGTCCACACTAAGGAGGGGAGCAGCCTGGAAAGGAGCGCTTTTAATGAGCTTCCCACCGGAGGGGCCATTTTCACTGCCTGGAAATTTCCAGATTTACACAAAGGGAATTATTATTATTTTTTGATACATGAAGGCAGCTCCTTCCAGCAAGAATATCATTATTGCATGAATATTTTTACATCGAACGGGCCGCCCTCCCCAAACGCGAACTCTTCAAATGCGTGAATGAAGAGCCGCTGAGAGGATCTGATTCGAGAAATTTAAATTTGAGATCCGCTTCAGTGACATTCAGGACTCTTCCCCCCCCCCACTCAAAATGCAGCGTTTCTTTTATCAGGTTGATGGCGAATGAGCCGGGTCCCAGAGAATGTCCCACCACTTCGGAGAGGGCCACTAAAGGGCCATCTAGTCCACCTTCTGCTCAGTTTGGGAAACTCTCTTTAACGAGGGCTGTCCCTCTAGCCGCAGCGAATGGAAGCCCACCATCTTTCCTGGCCAGGCATTCTATTGGCAAAATGCTCTTGGGTTAGGGTGATTTTCCCAACATTCCCTCAAATTTGCTTCCTGCATTTTAAAGGCATTATTTTATGACTCCCACTCAGGTATGTTGCAGAAAAGGTCTACTCTGTCCTTTCCTACGATATCCTTCAGGATATTTGAAACATGTTATCCTATTTCCTGCTGGGCATTTCCTCTAGATCAGGGTGTCCAACCTTGGCAATTTTAAGACCTGTGTACTTCAACTCCCAGAATTCCCCAGCCAGCTATGCCTGTTAGCTATGCTAGCTAGGGAATTCTGGGAGTTGAAGTACACAGGTCTTAAAAGAGCCATCGTTCCCCACTCGTTCTCTACGGATGAAAACTTTCCAGTTCCTTCACTCTCCCTTCAAAGGAAATAAAGTTACTGCATCGTTATTATTTATTTATTTAGTCAAATAAATAATACTGCCCGCTCTTCTCTGAAGCCTGTCTGAATCCCGCAGTCAGGGTCTGAAAGCTGCACACAACACTCAAAGTAGAGTTTGACCAAAGGAGGAGAAAGCAAGCAATTATTTTCTTTGATTTAGAAATTGGGTCTTGATTTAACCAAGAATTGCAGCTAGCACTTTGTGCCACAGCCTCATATTGCTGGCTCCTGGTTCAATCTGCAGTGAATTCCTAATATATTTTTTCCCCATCTACTATCAATAATTTTGATATTCCCCTGTTTATCTGTACATTTCTTTTTTCCCCTAAGTGAAATGCTTTGAGCTTGTCTGTATTAAAATTTCATATTGCCTTTTTCAGTTCATTTCTCTATTCACTCAAGATCATTTAGAGCAGTGGTGGCGAACCTATGGCACAGGTGCCAGAGGCGGCACTCAGAGCCCTCTCTTTGGGCACTGTGCCATCGCCCCAGTCCTATGCCTTCAGCTGGGTTTTATGAAACTTTTTCGCTTTAAGCCACGGCCACATGTACAAAAAAAAAAAAAGGTTCAATCAGTCAATTTCAACTTCTCGTGGAAAAAAAAAGATCTTGCAAAGTTGGAATTGTTTGATTGACCTTTTTAGTCCCACCCAGTCTGCTGTTATCACCGCAGCCACGCCCACCCAATGGGTCACACCCATTCAATGGGCCACGCCCACCCAATGGGTCACACCAACCCGGCACCCGACGATGCGTAAGTGGGTTTTGGGTTGCAGTTTGGGCACTCGGTCTCTAAAAGGTTCGGCATCACTGATTTAGAGACTCATCTAAGAGTTCAGACTCTGGAAAGAGTGCAGAGAAGAACAACAAAGATGATTAGGGGACTAATATATAGGACGAATGGTTGCAAGAATTGGGTATGTCTAGTCAGTGAAAAGGAAGGACTAGGCGAGACATGATAGCAGCCTTCCAATATCTGAGGGGCTGCCACAAAGATGGGGTCAACCTATTCTCCAAAGCACTTGAAGGCAAGACCAGAAGCAACGGATGGAAACTCATTAAGGAGAGAAACAACCTGGAATTAAGGAGAAATTCCTGACATTGAGAACAATTAATCAATGAATAGCTCGTCTCCAGAAGTTGTGGGTGCTCCATCGTTGGAGGCTTTTAAGAAGAGATTGGACAGCCATTTGTCTGGAACGGTATAGGACAGGGGTAGGCAACCTTGGTTCTTTTATGACTCGTGGACTTCAACTCCCAGAATTCCTGAGCCAGCCATGCTGAGGGGAAAGGGAAAGGTTTCCAAGCTGAGCCATGGAATTCTGGGAGTTGAAGTCCACGAGTCATAAAAGAGCCAAGGTTGCCTACCCCTGGTATAGGATCTTCTGCTTGAGCAAGGGGTTGGACTAGAAGACCTCCGAGGTCCCTTCCAGCTCTATGATTCTGTCTCGTTCTATTATACGAGATGCAGGGGATTGATTAACCCACTCAAATCTGTGTCATCTGGGAGGCTGGTAAGCATCTCCTTTGCCTCTTCATCCAAATCATTAATAAAAATATTGAAAAAAGAGGCCTCGGGACGGAATCCTGTGGCACCCCATGCAGAGCTTCACTTTACCCTGAGGAAAGGTGGTGGATAAGCCTGGGATGTTGATAATTATTATTTTCAAGCCAGCTCTGCTATGCTGTCTTAACCTTCTTGGGCTGCCTCAGCTGTTAATCAGAACATGCTGAGGTATTTTATTCGGTGCTTCATCGCAATCAAGATGAATTATATCCACAACATACCTTCAATCTAAAAAGGAAGCGACCCGATTAAAAAAAGAATAGTCTAAATTAGTTTAGCAACACCTGTTCTTTCACAAATCCATGTTGACTTCTGATTAATTTTTCAAGGTGGTTGCAGAGTGACCTCTTTATTACCATTTCTGGAATTTTCTTTGGGGTTGAAATCAAATTGGTTGTACTGGAGATTCTCCTTCTCCCTCTTTTTAAGGACAAGAACGCTTTTCTGGTTCGTCAAGGTTTCCTTAATTCTTTTTTAATTCTAAAACTCATCATATTTTGAGCTTTAGCTTTCTACATTTCTGAGCTGCCCCTATTTTCATCTCCTACGTCTTTTTTTTTTTTTTTCCGAACCTTTTTCTGAAGCCTTATTAGCTGATTTTTCTGCCTACAATTTTTCCCCCAACTGGAACTGTTTTTTTCAATATCATCTTATTTTAGGAACTCCTACTCCTTCTGTGATCCTTTTTTTATTTGTTTTTCCTACTGTAGAATAATTGCTCTTTTTTAACACCACCCCCACCCCCCCGTTTCTCTGAAATTCTGTTCCCTTAAAATCAAGAATTCTAGCATTAACAGAATAATAAAGTTGGAAGGGACCTTGGAGGTCTTCCAGTCCAACCCCTTGCTTGAGCAGGAGGCCCTCTACTATTTCAGATGAGTGGCCGTCCAGTCTCTTTCTTAAAACCTCCAACGTTACAGCACCCACAACTTCTGGAGGGAAGCCGTTTCACTGATTAATTGTTCTTACTCTCAGGAAGTTTCTCCTTAGTTCTAGATCAGTGGTGGCGAACCTATGGCACGCGTGCCAGAGGCGGCACTCAGAGCCCTCTCTGTGGGCACGCACACCATGCCCTGGAGATGGCAACCGTCTCTCTTCAACCAGCTGCCTGCCACTCTGAGATCCCATGTGGCCAGATGCATCCCAGCATGGCTGGTTTCCCTCCCCCCCCGTCCCATCCCTCCTGGCCTCGCATACTCTCCTTTTCCTGGGCACGACCCACTGCATCACCTCCTCAGTTGTCAGCCGGCCGTCCAGCTCAGAGGTGGCTTTTCTGAACTGTTGGGGGTGGGGTGTGGAGCTCCAGAGTGCGCCAGTTGAGGGTCCGGCAGGCTGTGGCT